AAGTGTTTACTAAATCAGTAGTTTCAGCCATGTGTGTGTATGTGTGTATGTGTGTATGTATGTGTGTGTGTGTGGTATGTTTGCATATGTGTATGCATGTGCTAGGGTAGACTTCAGGGAGGTTCTGTCTTTTCACTATATATTACCTTATATATTGAAGGCAGAGCTCACTGATTTGTCCTGTCTGAGTGAACTGCCTACTTGCCACAGGGATCCCTTGTCTCTGCTTCCCAAGTGCTGCGATTATACACAGGCCTACCTAGCTCTTACGTAGGGGCTAAGGATCTGAACTCTGATCTTCACACTTGCGCAACAAGCCCTTTAGCCGTAAATCTGCCTCCCTAGTCTGTGCTGCTGTGATTTATTATTCTCTGCATGCTAACAAAAATGTTTCGAGTTCAACTTTCAGTCTCAGCTCCCAGGACACAACCCCTGCTACCAAAGGAAATACTTTCCCCCTTGGACTTTATAATCACCCCCCTTACCCAAAAAAGGCTCCAATAATGTGCTCTGATCTGCGGGTCCACTTGCAGGTCAGGTCTTCTGCTTGCTTTGTCCCAACCACAGAACAGCTAACACACAGAGATGTGGTGCCACATGGCCTGGTCTGGCAGTTTCCCCCTCTTGCCTCCTGGAAGCCAAGAACCAGGAATTAAGAATCATTATGCCATATTACCATCCACAGAGCAACCCTGGAACATGAGGACACCACATACAAAGTGAACATGTTGGACCAGGAGCATGGATCAGTTGGAAAAGTGTTTGCTATAGAAATACAAGGACCTAAATTCAGATCCCCAGCACCTACATAAAAAAATCTGGGTGTGGCTGGGCAGTAGTGGCACATGCCTTTAATCCCAGTACTTGGGAGGCAGAGGCAGATGGATCTCTATGAGTTCAAGGTCAGCCTGGTCTACAGAGTGAGTGCCAAGATAGGTTCCAAAGCTACACAGAGAAACTTTTTCTTGAAAAAACAAAAATAAATAAAAAATAATAAATAAATGAATGAATTAATAAATCTGGATTACTAGTGCATTTCTGTAACTCAGTATTGGGAAGACAGAGACAGGAGAATCCCCCAGGACTCGCTGGCCAGCCTCTGTGAGCTCCAGTGTCAGTGGAGTTCAAAAATAGAGAGTGGTGGGAAAAGATACCTGATGTCACCCTCTGGCTTACACACAGGCAAAGGTATACACACACACACAGAGAGAGAGAGAGAGAGAGAGAGAGAGAGAGAGAGAGAGAGAGAGAGAGAGAGAGAGAGAGAGAGAGAGAGAGAGAGAGAGAGAGAGAGAGAGAGAGAAGAAACATGTTAGACCAGCCCAGCGGAGCCCTTTCCAGATTGGGACACTCAAATGCATGCGATTAAGCCATTGCATGCAGAGATACTTATTATAACGCTGCAGCAGCTGAAGCAGGCTCCAGTGTGTACCCCAGATTTCACCAATCCCAAACTTCTCAATGGGTGCTGTTTGATAAGCTTTGTGTTTGTCTCCTAAGGAGAAAGTGAACTGAGCACCAGCGTCCATCTCTGCAAGTGCCTCGTACTCCTGCCGCAAGCCTTCCCCACCGTGGAGGGTTGTACCCCCAAACTGTGAGCTGAAACAGCCCTCCCTCCACCCCTCCCTCCACCCTCCCTCCACCCTCCCTCCACCTCTCCCTCTACCCCTCCCTCTACCCCTCCCTCTACTCCTCCCTCTACCCCTCCCTCCATCCCTCTCTCCACCCCTCCCTCCACCCTCCCTCCACCTCTCCCTCCACCCCTCCCTCTACCCCTCCCTCTACTCCTCCCTCCACCCCTCCCTCCATCCCTCTCTCCACCCCTCCCTCCACCTCTCCCTCCACCCCTCCCTCCACCCCTCCCTCCATCCCTCTCTCCACCCCTCCCTCCCTATCTCCCTCCCTACCTCCTTCCCTCCCTCCATCCCTCCCTCCCCTGTCCAGTTGCTTTTGTCACGTATTTTGTGACATCGATGGGAGATTTAATATAACGCCTTCAACACTTTCCCCAAACCGCGCCTCTAAGGCCCCTTGCTCAGATTCTAGCAGCAAGCTCCTCTCTGTCTGCTTTGTGCTCATACAGGCATCCTTAGTCTCTGCTTTGTGCTCATGCAGGCATCCTTAGTCTCCAGACCAGACAACTTCCTAGCTAGTTTGGTTCTCTCAGAAACAGTTCAGACCGTCTTTGTCACACCAGCCACCAGGCGGAGTCCTTTCTAACCCATCAAGCCACACAAAGCATACCACTAAATGCAGACTGGGTGGCAGAGATGCCCTGAGTTCAATACCTGGGACCCACACGGTGGAGAGAGAAAACTGACTCCCACAGGTCCTCCACTGACCTACACACACACACACACACACACACACACACACACACACACACACACTGAATAAATGTGTTATACACACATTGAATTAATGCGATAAAATAAATCAATAAATTCAGAGTGTCTTAGTCTAGGTTCCTCCTATCCTGATACCATCTCCTAAGAGCTCAGCTCCAGGTCACACATTTGGTGTCAATTGTATCACACCTCCTTGTGGGTCACAACTTGTGCCTCATCTTTAGGACTCTCGAGGCTTCCAATATGTACAGTTTATAGGCTCTGAGAAGGCTTACCCATGTGAGCAGTCTCAGGAGAGGCCACCAGAATCACCAGGCAAAGGGAGTTTCCTGCAGGGAGGGGACGGTGATGGTTCCACTGTGTACAGAGTCCCCAAGAGGACACCTCTCTTCGATGGTTAGCTAAGAGAACTCACTGGGGGCTCAGTAAACAGCTATGCCCACTGCTGTTACTGTCTCAGGAGGGTACAAAATGAATAAAGGAGAAAGGTAGTGGAACAACACCTGGGAGAATCCAGGCGACACCCTCCAGGGTCCTTCCTAGTGCAGTCACACAGGGTGCACTTAATTTCCCCAGTGTCAAGTTGGAATAGCTTGTGTAGCATCTCACCTACTGGGGGGACAGCGGCTTCAATACCAGCATCCGCACTGAGAGCCACCCATACAGACTCCCCTTGACATAGTGCCCAGTGTTGTAAAATAGGCTGCTCTGAGCAGAGTAGCTGTCCTTCACGCATCAGCTGTGCCTGCTTGCAAAACACCGTCTCCAGTGGACCTGGAACTGCTAACATTCCCTCAGAGCAGGAGGGGTGGGGAGGACCACTGGAACTCACCGAGGCTCCAGCCTCTGCCCCCACACACTGGAATACATTTCTGCCCTAATTGCGCACGGCCTCACCCTCTCCAGGAGGTCGTAGAGCTTATAGTCTGGGGAAGGATAACTGAAGGCTCTCCGTCTCTGTGTCTGTGGGGTGAAGATTTTCCAGTGTGGCTGCTTGGAGTACCCCATGCTCCCAACAGTAACCCCTCAGCCAATAACTCTGTAATCAAGCCCAATAAATCCATTTGCCCCTCTCCCTGCAGGTGGAATTGTACTTTGGTTTGTCTTGGGACCTTGTGAAGAGGGGGGTAGATGTTGTTTACATCTCCCCAGGGAAGGAATGCTTGAAACCCATGGTGAAGGAAACCTGGTATTGACATTAAGCAATTTGCTTGCCCAGACAGGTCAGACAGTGTGAATCCAAGGCCCCTAGCAGTCAATCAAGAGCCAGCCTTGAGAAGGACGAATCTCTGCCCTGCTCTCTCCTTCCTGAAGGTGCCATGGGATTCGGAGCTCTGGTCCCCAGCTTCTTTGTATCTGCTCCCTTGTTCCTGTTCCAATCCTCACCCACACCACAATCCAGTGTGCTTAGGAATTCTATTTGCATTATAATTCAGCCATTGCAGAATAAGATGTCAGGTTTGACTCATCAGTACAGTTAAGGGCTGCCTCTGGCATTTGGAAGGAATAAAAGAGAGATGTTGGTTGTCCCACAAGAGAATAAACTATGCACCATCTCACATGACTTTTGGATGCCCACCTGAGTTTTCATATGAAGAGAGAAACCTGTCCATTATCTGAGCCGACAATCTGACATTTCATGTGTAAATACAGGGTCTAAGAATCTAACTACGATGGAAGATAAGAGGAAACTCGTCTCTATTTGGCTTGGAACAGTACCAAGGATGGTTCATCACTTCAGAAAATCACATTCCTGATGACAAAAACCATTTAGTACTTGAGTCACCAAAATACCCACCTGTACCAGCTGCCTGCATCTGTGGCTGTGTCTAAGCTCTCTCTCTCTCTCTCTCTCTCTCTCTCTCTCTCTCTCCTGTGTATATGTGTGTGTGCATGCACACCTATGTGTGTATGCATTTCAAATACAGATACAAAGGTTTTCAGTTTTATTTTTGCATTTCTTTTTCTGGAGGAGGGGTGGTGCCCACATGGCATGCATGCGGATGCAGAGAACTTACAGGTATAGCTTCTTCCCCTCCACCATGTGGCTCTCAAGGATCAAACTCAGGCCATCAGGCTTGGTTGCAGGTGCCTCTATCCATTGAACCATTTCACCAGTCCAAGCTTTTCATCTGAATATGTTGACATTCTTTACTTAGTTTCAAATTCACACTTAATTATTTTAAGTAGGTAAATTATTGACATATGTATCTCTGGCCACTTCACCCATAAGTGAGTGTTGGATACATGGGATGGACACATGCACTGCCAAGTCTCAGGTGCAAGCAAAAGTTCTGGCTGTATAAATACAGACCCAGGCTGGGAAGACCATGCAGCCAGAACAGTGTTTGTCATGCAAGCATGAGGACCCCACATATGTACACATACATGAGTATGTGCATAGCACACACACACACACTCACACACACACACACACACACACACACACCAGATCTAAACGTTAAGCACAAAGAGGAATAGCACCAGGGGATCAAACCTTCAAGAATCTACATTCCACAGAGATCTTGCTTGGAAAACAATACAATATAGTACAGTACAATACAATACAATATAGCACAGTAGAATACCATATAGTACAATATAATACAACATAATACAGTACAGTACAGTATAATAAAAGATAATAGCATAATACAAATAGTACAGCACATACAGTACAATACAAACCAGTTATCCAGTGCCTTAAAGTACAGTGGGTTCTACAATGCTGAATCAGCCGGTCTTGCATTTCAAGAAGTGACCCTTTGATTACACCACTGTGTCTCTGCCACCGTTCTCCAAACCAAGCCATTCCCCAAACAGCACCTGCTTGTCAAGGGACATCATGCAAGGAGATTAGGTCTATTTTATTAAGTCGGTAACTTGCTTTGTAATAAATTAATCACTAAATTGTTTATGTGTTGTGTATCCTCCCAATAAACATACATATTTTCCCTTAAATCCTGTTGTTTCTATTACGAAAAAGCCTGCACCACAGTGATGTTCAAAGACACAATTCTACACTGTAGGAGAACAACTACAGATTGGGATTATGGTTTTGTTGTTGTTGTTGTTAATACTTTCCTCCTATTTCTTGATTTTATCACCAGGTATGTAACATGCCACATATATGAACATACATGTATCTAGACTGGTGGTATGTTTATAGCTGTCATCACAGGATGGTGAAGGGGGCATGAACAGACAAGCTCTCAGAGGAAAAAGCAGGAAGAAAGGCTTGGACCCCTTGCACAGTGCTTTCTTGAGCTTTCACTCACAACGTGGACTCCTTGGCTATGACACAAGAGGCCCCTTTTCATTATTGGCCACTGTCTAACAAAAGCCCCAAGCTCAGCGGCTTGAAATAATCCCCTGTTATCACTTCTCTTACTTCCTGTTGGGCAGGAAGCTGAACAAGCAGCAAGTGATTTATCTCTACCCCATGGTGTCTGGGGTCCCCTCTGGGAAATATGCAAAGTGGAAGCTGAGACCACCTGATGGCCAGGGCTGTTGGCCTGTGGAGGCTCTTGCTGTCTTTTGGCTCAAACACCCATGTGTCTTCTCTTCTTGGAGCCTGAATTCCTGAAAACAAGGTGTCTGACACCCAAGATGAGAGCCCAAGAAAGCTAGGCAGAAGCCATGCTGTTAGAGTTAGTCTCCCAAGTGTCTGGCCGCCATCTTCCCCACACCCTATTGTCCAAGGCAGTGACAGAGATCAATGGCGCAAGGAGGGGGTGCCATGCTTACTAGTGGAGTGGTCTCCACACTGGACAAGAGACTGCATGTGTCAGGTGGATCACCCCTCTTCAGGAATGCTGTCTCTTCAGTTTCAACTTTTCCCAGTCTCCAAGCATTCGGGTAGAGGGCTGGTCAGAAAATGAAAAAGGAAAACAAACTCTACTATAAACTGAAGAGAAAGGGGGGGGACAGTGTTTGTGCTGAGAGCCTCAGAAGTCAAGCAACAGCAGAAATGAATATTCACCAACTGTTGAAACAAAATCTCTCCAAATAAGGAATGTGCACCTTTTATAATGATTACATGTATGTGTGTGTGCGTTTGTGTGTGTGTGTGTGTGTGTGTGTGTGTGTGTGTACATGCCTTTTTAGTGGCCAGATAATGTCAAATGTCATTGGATCCTGGGGAACTGGAGTTGCAGGCAGCTGTGAGATGCTGCTATAGGTGCTGGGTACCACACTTGGCTCCTCTGAAAGAGCAGCAAGTTCTCTCAGCTGCTAATCCACCTCCAGCAGGGAGGGGGGAAGTTCATAACGGAAAAAAAAGGTCTCAGCAATGCCTGAAAGAGTCCCCCTCATGTCCCCATCTCAAAAGGGGCCTTGCAGGACTGAGCTGTTCGGTAGTACTCAGTTCTCCTGTGCTGGGGAAGTAGTTGAAATTGCCATCATAGGAAGAAAATTGAAACATCAGTGGAATCAAAAGTGTTCTCTCTCATTCTCTCTCTCTCTCTCTCTCTCTCTCTCTCTCTCTCTCTCTCTCTCTCTCTCTCTCTCTCTCTCTCTCTCTCTGGGTTATGAGGTACAAGGAGTGGGGAAAGAAGAATAAAAATTAGAGGAAACACAACTTCTCAGCTTCCCGCAGGCAGTGTGAATGATTTCCCACATACCGGACGGACTGACTAATCCATTCCCTCCCATCCCATGATTCTTCCCCTGTAAAGTGGCCGTAATGCCCTGGACAACCCTGCCCGTGCCATACGCAGCACCCAGGAGCCAAACCCAGGAGCAGGGGTTTCATAGCCCCTGCAATCTTCTCACTAGAGATATGGAACCTGACTGCCCCTCTCTACCCAAGGAAGCAGGGCCATTGGAGACATGTTACCATGAAGAACAGGCCAGTGGGGCGGGCATCCTTTGAAGTTTGTGATCTCCTTCATCGCGTGAGTCTCACCTGCCCAGCACTTTTAGCTCATGTTTTTACAAAACAATTGAATGATATGACCCCAAAGTTCTAGAATCTCTAGTTTATTTACAAACAAACTGAGAAAAAGTTGTGGGGGGGTGGGGAGGTGGAAATGTGACTTTGATTTGGGAGTGGGGAGGTGGCATCTATGGAGTACTGCAAAGTGTCACAGCATCTGTCATAGGCCGAATCGCCAATGCACACATTTCACTTCTATTCACCTTTCCTGAGTGATGGAGCACAGGCCCGGAAAAGTCCCAGCTGGCCCAGATCTGGGCCCACCAGCAAGTCTTGACACGTGCACGTGCCGCTCGGAAGGATCCTGAGTTTTCCACGCTGGAGGTTCACCGTGACACTAAGAACAACCACATTCTCAGATGCTTTGAACTAAACAAAGCTCCATCGTCCAAACAGCTGGGTTCCTGTTTATGATGGCAGGGATGCTGCAGAAGCTCCCTTCGAGCCGTTTGCATTGAAACAGCATCGCTGGAAAATGGTCCACGTAATTGAATCTTCAGTGGCTGGGAACAAGACGTGACATTTCACCTGCAGGGCACAGGCAGAGTCAACACATCTAATCCTTATTCCGCTCTCACTGTTCCCTGCCCTGCTGTTTGAATGTGTCTTATGAAAACACAGCATTAAAATAGCCAGAAAGTCCCCGAGGGACCAGAGAGAAACAATAACATGTCATTTATAAGCAGCTTCATGGCCGGTTTGCTTTTCTTGAGACGTTGCTGTTTTTATTTCCCATCATCTGTCCCCTGCATTTAGGTGTTTAGTTTCCCAGGCTCCCTCTCTGAATTTTAGGGGAAGGCTCCCACTTAGAAGGTCCCCGCGTGTGTGTGTAATGTGGGGAGATCCCAGGAGAGGTGGCTGCCATCCTGTCACCTTGAATAAGAGCCTGCCACTGAAAGCCATGGGGAGTCTCACACCTTTTCCACTTTCTAGAAACCAGTGCTTACACAGCCACCCAAATGCGTCCCAGTTGGACAGGAATACAAATGTCTCTTCTAAGGGTGCTAAGAGCAGTTTTCACGACCTCATTAGCATACCGCTAGTGGTGTTTTCTGAGGTATATGTCTCAGTACTGTATTTAGAGTCCATGCTTCCAGAAGAGGGGTCAATCTGCATCTCTATTTCCAGAGAATAGTCATTTTCCTTCTTCAAGTAACAGTTTTTGAGGAATTTTTTTCCTTAACTCTATGAGGGAAGGTTGGAATTCTCATGGGAAATCAGAAGAGAGAGAAAAGGAAAAAAATGTAGACTTCAGAAGCTTATTACACTTACTTTGGGCTCATGTGTGCACGTATGGTAAGCCCGCCACAGAAATGCCTGTGGAGGTCAAAGGACAACTTGGGGAGTCAGTTCTCATCCGGGTCTCACTTGCCCAGTACTTTCAACTCATGTTTTTGCAAAATCATTGAATGAAATGGCCCCAGAGCTTCAGAAGGTTCTAGTGTGTTTCTCGCAAACTGAGAACAAGTCGGGGAGAGGAGGGGGAACTGGCATTTATCACTCACTGCAGTGTCAGGGCATCAATGGCAGACGGCTGGCTGCTAACCTGCAGCCCCACCCAGGGGCAACTTGGGAAAACAAAGTGGGCTCATCTTCACAGAGTGTGGGCTGACGGTGCCTGTGACATGATGCTATCCGCCCTTAATGACTTCCAGCGTGTTGTCTCAGCTCTCTGCCGGTACGAGTCACCGCTTCTCTTAGACCTAACACATCCTAATTAAGCGCATCCAGAGGGTGACCTCAGGAGGAAGCGCGTTGCATAAGGAACGCATCCACCCCCCACTCTTGCACAACAGGCTTTAAAACAGAGCTCACAAGAAACGAATCAGGCAGCTCTCATGCCGCGCTCGCTCAGGAACTCAGTCCTGACCATGGTAGAGCCGCGGTGGGGCAAAGGGCCCGCCCCAGCTTCCAAGTCAGGAGGGACATGACTCTGTAATCAAACCACCTTTGAGAGGAGTCTTCCTGTAAAACGCTAAGACTGTGAGGCAATCATGCCTTTCAATTCATTAAATAAAAGCACAGTGTGACGTTCTTAACACATCCTTATCTTTTACAGAATCATATAAGGGCCAGAGGGATGGCTCAGCAGCTAAAGGTTACTGCTGCCAAACCTTGTAATCTGAGTTCAATTCCAGGTTCCACATGGAAGGAAAGAACAAACTATTACAAATTGTCCTCTGACCTGCACACATGTGCCAGGGTATATGTACATACACACAAATCATTTAAAAACATACATAGGCTTGCAGATTACAAATGACTGTTGTAAATATATGTCAGTTTTTGGAACATAGGATTTGGGTATGCCACAGTCAGGAGTCAGCTCAGAAAGCCAAAATACTTTCAGTGACTTGACTGGGGGGAAAAAAGGCTTAGTATTTAGAATTAAGTGTTTTAAAAAGCCATTGAAGGAACAGGCTCTAGGCTGTGATTCTTGGAATGGTTTGCGGAACAATAAGGATTATGGGCTGTGAGGTCACTCTGGGAGCCAGGCCAAGCTGAGTTCTACTAATACCCCAACACATGGGGCAGTGACTCTGCTTGACACTCAGAACTCAGAGGGGGGACCTGGAAAAGTCCTGGAAGAAGGCATGGTCCTCCTGACCTAGCAACGAAGGAGAAGACACAGGAGGAGGCCAGGCCTCCATCCCTGCCTGCCAGCAAAGCCATTCTGTGAAGGACCAGAGGGTGACATAGTTTTGTCTTTCGGATTCCACAGTCTCTGACAACTGCTAAACTCCATCATTGCAGAACCTCTCTATTGTGTGGCTACTTTCCTCTGACTGAAATATTTTGTGTTAGAGATGAGGGAAGCCCACTAGGACTAAGAACACAAATCACACAAGCTTCAGGAAGTTTTGGAAACTTAGGAGGATTGCATGGCCATGGCCAAGGTTGTGTGAACGTAACAGTAGCTGCTCTCCAACTGGCCAAGCTGCCTGCAGCTCACGCAGGACTCTGGGGATGCAGGTTTCATGTTGCCACCCATACTGGGGAGGGATTTTCAATGATGCAGGTGTCTTTGAGTCACCAATGTCCCTGTAGGTAACCCATCAGGCATACCCCTGCAGCAGGTAACTCCCGGGAGCTCCTGGTTCGCTAGGCTGCACATCATTGCTCTGCCATATCGGTTTGCTCACATCTCCCCAGGAAAAGTCACACAGCAGCATCAGCATCGTGTTGCACAACAAAGGACATGGGAGATATTACTGTGGAGCAGGTTCCTTACCATTCAAACTCAATGGGAGTCATAGCTGCCCACATCCGTATCACTGAGCTGCTTATTTGACCTCTGGAAAAGCAAAACTGATAAGAACCAAATTACACACACACACACACACACACACACACACACACACACACACAGAGAGAGAGACAGAGACAGAGACAGAGACAGAGACAGAGAGAAAGAGAGAGAGAGAGAGAGAGAGAGAGAGAGAGAGAGAGAGAGAGAGAGAGAGAGAGAGAGAGAGAGTGTGTGTGTTCCTCTGGTCTAACCCTTACAGAAAGGCAAATTGAGGTATATTAGGCCAGCAGCATGAGCCTGTCATCCACCTTACAAGGAAAAACATGAACAATCTGCCCATGTTCTGCTTCCGTGTTCTTCAGCCCCTTTCCAGTTATAAAAGCTGCCTCCTCAGCTCTGCCTATTGGCAAACTCTGCTCTATTTCATGGCATGAAGTGCTGCCAAATTCTGCAATGGAAAACTAAATTAATTAAGGCCTGTAAATAGGTCATCATAATTCTGTCGTTTAGTAGAACTAAAGAAGGGCTCCTGTTTGTAGATGCAAACAGACATCCAGACCTGGTCCCTCGCGCTGTCAGCCAGCCCTTGATACATAACAGCAGCTGACCCTCCCCCAGAGCCCTAGCTGCAGAGAGTCTAGGACAGGGGTTTCTATCCAGTACTGGAGACTGTGCAAGGGGAATGTGTTCTTGCCCATGGCAACGCGTGCTTCTACTGTTTCCTGTTCACGTCAGCACAGAAAACCTATCAGGCAGAAAGAATGGTGTGTGACAGGGGACAGGGGTTTGCTCCAGCTCAAAGACCACCTCTAGAAGAATAGCTGTGGTTATAAAGATGATTCGTGGACTGTCATTCCCTAATGACCATCTGTCCTCCACAAGGAGGCGGGGGAGAGTCCCCACACCTGCACCTTTCGGGCTTTTGAAGGAGGCACATGCATTCCCGATCCACCCAAAATGTTCTCCATGCCACAGGGATGGCGGCTCACGGTCTTCCCATTTGGCCAGTTCCCTAGGAAATCACCTGGAGTGAGTATTTCAGCTCAGCTGTGTATTCGGGAGCCAGGGAGGTAAGCACATTCTGACGCCAATGGGCCTATTATGAAATGGAACCGGGTCAAAAGTCCACCTATGGGGCTGGAGGGATGGCTCAGAGTTAAAAGCACCGGCTACTCTTCCTGAGGACCCAGATTCGAGTGCCAGCACCCACACGGTGACTCACAACTGTCTGTGACTAGAGTTGACAGGGACCTGACGCTTTCTCTGGCTCCAACGGGCACTGCATGCAACATTCAGGTGCAACACCTATACATACAATTTTTTAAATCAATTTATCCCAGCCCTCCCAACCCAGAGTCCTGTGTGACTGGCCCTCACACACAGCCATCTGGTCAAAGACCTTGGTCGTCTTTTGAAGGTAGGAGAAAGACACTTGGAAGGTTCTTCTTGTAGCTTCTCAAGGCCCAAGCCTGAGGTGATTGCACTACTTCTTCACTCAGGAACTTTCCACAGTGGCCACTCATGTGCACCTTCGGGGCACCAACTCAGCGGTGGCACTTTCACAGCTCAGATGGGCTGTCCATCAATCCCCACCATGACCCAACCCAGAGACCAGGAGACCTGGCAGGGCAGATCAAACTTGGGATGCTAGCTGGGAACGTGTAGTTCCTGGGGTACCTAAAGATGTGCAGGCTAAATTTAGGATAAATCTGGAGGCGATGTGGTTGCCCCTGGA